GTTAATGTTCGAGACATGAACAAGTACAGATCCTGCAGGGTACAGCTATGAGTTAGGTGCTAGGTGAGTATGTTATGTGAATGTGCTGTTCCCTGTTTGACCGTAAGTATACAAACAAGCACAGGGTCACAGTTATATTCAATCTCCACATAAACATACAACAAAAACGGCCATATAGCCTAACTCCGAACACACCACAGATAACTTAAGCCTTTAAAGGCACAAAAATGTTTTGATTAACAGGACAGGTTTACAATATATCCTCTGTCCTTGGGGGATCTTGCTGCCAAGTTGAGGTATGATGACTGAACTTCAGGATTGATCAACATTTTCTTAGCCACTGCCTATATACGAGAAGGACTAAATGCTTGTTTTGATTTACAGGACATGTATACAATATATCCTCTGTCCTTGGGGGATCTTGCTGCCAAGTTGAGGTACGATGACTGAATTTCAGGATTGATCAACCTTTTCTTAGCCACTGCTTATAAACGAGAAAGACCAAATGCTTGTTTGTAAACTGCGTTGAAAATTTAATGATCCACCTTCAATTCTGACATGAAGGCACAAATGAAATAGTTCCCTCTCCTTTTCGAATACACTAAGCAAAATATTTAATAAATTTTAGTGGATGGACAAGAGCAATTAGCATAGCTTTCCCTCAAGTTAACTTCTGGCACTGTTGATGAAAATTACACTGACGCTTATTCGCTTCATATTTTGTAACAAACGCGCTAAAACTGCAATATAACAGCACTATATGCTTCTTGACAAAATGCAATAGTATTAAAGATTTAGCCCTGATGGCATTCATTCTTGGTGGAAACGTAATTACAAAATATTTTGTAGTAGCTATTACATTCCGGCCGAAAACAGTGCACGGTTTAAAAAAGAATCATTCCAATGACGGTCCATTCTTGCGGTCCTGAAATCGCCACTATTTCCGGCCTCTCCAACGCAACTCGTTGTCCAGACGTAAATATGCGGTATGGTTTGGGTTGAGGTACCTATTATATAACACATTTTGAATTGCTGGTAGCAGTAGGTCCGATTAGAATTCAACTAATCAAAATAGTCAATATTGTAAATGTACGTAATCTGTTTGTTTCACGATCGAGTCAGTGGGGTGTGATCAATGGTTCTTCCTTTTATTGAATTAAGGGTGCCCTTAAGGGTGCCCTTGAATTAAGGGGGCATTCCACGATAGATCGACCAAAATTTTATCAGATTTACACCCGACCATTTTTGATTTTGATGAAATCTTGTCTACAGGGTTCTCTTATGCCCTGAAGTCAATGGTGACAACGCCAGACCCCTACGGTCAGCGGTTTAGGAGATATAGCCCCGGTCATTTTGACGAGGTCACTCTGCAGAGTGATTTTTGAAGTGCTATATCTCCTAAAGGAATGAAGGAAATGCATTAAACCTTTGCATCGTTGTGATCGTGGTGAAATGGGCAATTAATTGGCCATCTCGGATTTTCAAAAAAATGATTTTGATTTTTAGCTGTGACGTCATCAATTTTTAAACTTTCTGGCTACCCCCCTAGTACAATAAAATTTGCCATTATTTTTGCTCAGAAATAAAGTTCCGTCAATTTCCTTTCGACTGGGAAAAAACAAAAATGGTAATCTTTCTACAAATATTTTATTTTATTTTTTGAAAATCGCACTACAAACTCTGATTTACAGAATCGGGTTATTAAGCAATATAAGACACATCTGCGAGGACCAGTTACTTCCAAAAAGAGGTTAATCTGGGTTTCGGCATATAATACTCTTCTTTTTAACTTCACTTTTGATAACAAAAAAAAAGAACTTTAATATTACTTGCACAGGAGTCAATATAATGGCAAAATTATACATACTTTTGAGCTGCCACAGCTGCCTTGTTTATCAACGTAGCTCAAATGACCAACCGACAGTCGATTTGCAAAGCATATTTACGTTGCATCCAGTGTTGAAAATGATGATTCGCTGATGAAATACCTAGTCACATTACACCACCTTTTGCCTTCCTGAAACTACCAAAATTATTTTGTTCGTTTATAATTAGTCGGTTCGTAAATATGCTTTGCAAATCGACTGTCGGTTGGTCATTTGAGCTACGTTGATAAACAAGGCAGCTGTGGCAGCTCAAAAGTATGTATAATTTTGCCATTATATTGACTCCTGTGCAAGTAATATTAAAGTTCTTTTTTTTTGTTATCAAAAGTGAAGTTAACCCGCGCGGGGCTGGGGTCTCCAGCCGAACGCGCGGGGCTGGGGGGGGGTAAATTTTACCCCCCCTGTTATCTCACGAACTAATGGTCCGATTTGGAAAATTCAAACGCCAATCGAAAGCTCTCATCACGAACTACTAAAAACATGTACTTAATTTAAAGTTTGAGGTCAAGGTCAAGGTCAGGTCAAGGGTACAAATTGCAAGTTTCTACGTTTCTACAGTATCGGCCTTGCACCGTAGTTGCCGAAGAATGGAGTCATGGACTGAGACTGATCGCCCAAAACGTGTTCTTAGGCTACCAAGACAATACTCGTTGCATACAATATCATTCAGAGGTCAAGGTCAAGGTCAGGTCAGGTCAGGTCAGGTCAGGTCACCAAAAAACAAAATATAGAAAAGGGCATGTGCGAGTGCGACACATGTTTTATGGGTCGTTTTACTCATAGAATTCAATAGGCACACTCAATAAGTGATATGGACCACCTCTGGATGAATTTCAGGTCGAGGTCAGGTCAAGGTCAGGTCAAGTGAGGTCAAATTTTGAAGTTGGTTGTTAAGGCCTAAAAAGGTGTCTATCTGATGCAGTTTTTCACGGCGAATCGAATGAGCTATTTTTGTTTCCGTACGAGGTCTAGAACTTCCAAAAAAGTCATTTTTCAAAAAATTTGTGTGTCGTGACGTCATAAAATTTTGAATAACTCCCACATTTTTGAACCGATTCTTCTAAAATTTGGTATGTAGGTGCACATAGACCACTTCTCTGACATATATTCCGGTTTTTTCGATAGACTCAAAATTTTGGATTTTATAATGATTTTCCCAAAAAAGTCAGTTTTTTTAAATTTAGGCCAAAATCCAAAATTTTCAAAAAACCGAGATAGCCATTTGATAGACAAAGTAAAATTACGTATAACCTTTTTTGTTACGTCTTGATTCCTTTAAAAATGAAGATGTTAGCGGCGTTTGAACTTTTGCCGTTTTTGAGGCGAAAATGGCGAACATGACGTCACTAAAACGTCAACTTCTCAAAAATTTTCCGACGGATTTCGCTCAAATTTTCAGGGAACGTGTCAAATTGATGTCAGAAAAGGTACTGAAAGTTTGGCGGCGCTGCGCGCCGCCGTTTTTGAGATATCGCAAAAATTCGCGAGGGGGGGTAAAATTTACCCCCCCAGCCCCGCGCGGGTTAAAAAGAAGAGTATTATATGCCGAAACCCAGATAACCTCTTTTTGGAAGTAACTGGTCCTCGCAGATGTGTCTTATATTGCTTAATAACCCGATTCTGTAAATCAGAGTTTGTAGTGCGATTTTCAAAAAATAAAATAAAATATTTGTAGAAAGATTACCATTTTTGTTTTTTCCCAGTCGAAAGGAAATTGACGGAACTTTATTTCTGAGCAAAAATAATGGCAAATTTTAATGTACTAGGGGGGTAGCCAGAAAGTTTAAAAATGGATGACGTCACAGCTAAAAATCAAAATCATTTTTTTGAAAATCCGAGATGGCCAATTAATTGCCCATTTCACCACGATCACAACAATGCAAAGGTTTAATGCATTTCCTTCATTCCTTTAGGAGATATAGCACTTCAAAAATCACTCTGCAGAGTGACCTCGTCAAAATGCCCGGGGCTATATCTCCTAAACCGCTGACCGTAGGGGTCTGGCGTTGTCACCATTGACTTCAGGGCATAAGAGAACCCTGTAGACAAGATTTCATCAAAATCAAAAATGGTCGGGTGTTAGGCCTTGGTCGATCTATCGTGGAATTTGAAGGTGGCAGTCTTCCTTTAAAGGAAGACTGCCACCTTCAAAAAGTTTTCTCAGATCGGCCTATGATTTATTGCCTGGACAAAACAAAATTTTAGAATTCACCTGACAAAGTATCATCACGTGAATCGCGAAAAAATTGTCGATTATCATACAACTATCAATCGGTTAATGTCTAGCGACAATGTTTACACATCACTAGACTTCAAGGTCATAAGATTATTACATTTTATTTGAAAAAGTAAGGTATTTTATGATTTACTAATATATGATTTCATAAGAAATTGGCCATGTTTAATTTATTTTGCATTTAAGTTCGTAAAACATTTAAAAATCATGGCTCATTTGGAATGGGTCTGGCCCATGTTAAACCCCATTTCCCACACTTTTTTGGAAAAAATGAACTACTGAATATATAAGTTTAACTTTTATTTTGACACTCCAAAATTCTTCTCTGATCTCGAAACAATCAAAGTTTTGACATATATTTACCAAAAGATAAGAAAATTCATGTTTCAAAGTTATCGATAAACAGTAGAGATGTCGGTTATCTTGGACTAAAAAAATGGCATCAAACTGAACTTTGGTCTCCGATTTCTCGCAAACGGGTTCGAATTTCGGAAAACCGACTTCAGTCTGGGACATAGGTGGCTCAGCTCTAGTGAAAACCGTTTTGTGGAAAAAAGGTGGCAGTCTACCTTTAATTTGTTTGATATATGGTTTGTGACAATATGGTGCGGCTTTTATTCAACTTTGAGCCCAGGGTGCAAAAGGCGACTTTCACACTTTATTGTTATCAAAGATTGTTTCCCTTTATTCAGATGTGGCAGAACAGTTATACAATTCAATTCTATGAGTGTGCAGGATGAAAGGGGTACAAATGCTGCAGTTTGAACTCACTTTTTCATTTTTTATCAGTCAAATTTTATTAAGGAAAGATATCTATTCTTTTTACATTTAGCAACATCAGGTTTTCTCATCATTGACATTTGAAATAAGTAACTCACTAAATAGATAAGAGCAAAATCAGATAGCTGAGACTCATGATCTACCTAGCCTGCCTGCACCAGCTATTGAGAAAGTTTCATTGATGCATTCTGATCAGTAAGTTACAGGCCAGAACTGAAGCTGTCAACAATGAAATGTGTATTGAAGGTTCTTTTTTCTTGGATTTTCTTGGCCTGTGTCAATAGCGGTACTGTGGAATCATTGCATTGTGTGTACAAATGTAGGCATGTGTATCTCTATTTGCTTTTACTCATGTATTTGACTTGTTTCTCACTCCTCAGAAACCATGCCAAACCAGAAGGAGGATAAAGGAGCTGTGAAGAAAGGCACTAAGAGAAAATCAAAAGATAATTCAAATGCAGGGCCAGAATCAAAACAAAGCAAGGAATCCGCTGCTTCAAGCAGTACAGTGTCGAGAAGGAAAGATGGGACGCTGGATTTTCCCGACCATCCCCGGTTTAGACCGAACCGAACTCCGAAGGAGGTCCTGCAGGCGGGCAGCTTTGGTGGGACGTACTTCCGTCCAATCAAATCCGGCGTAACTGGTACGTATGTGTGCATGCATAGTGCATAGTCCCCCCCCCATTCATGCTGAGTATGCATCATACTATGGACAGTCGTCTTTCAAAAGAATGCGTTGATAAATATGTTCCTGAATGTCCCGACAGTCGTATGTCGGAACAGTGACGGTGGCACTAGTTACGTGTCCCACACCCTCATGTCTGGCCGCTCACCACTCTGGACGGCTGTATGTTCACAGGCGAGTCATACAAGGACGTGTGGAAGGAACTGCCGCAGGACTGGCTGGAGGGTCTCAACATCAAGCGGCAGGTGGCGTCCAGCATCTATGATGAGTCGGTGAACAAGTACGGTAAAAAGTGCGGCGGCAGCCTGGAGATGTGGGAACAGTCGGGATGGATCGTCAAACAGGACCCCTACGGCTGGTTCCAGTGGTACTGCAGGTCAGTCACTGACGATTTATCTGTCTTCATAGGATCCCTTCCAGTGTTACTCTAAGTTAAAGCAAACACATTTTATTTCCAGTAATAAGAGGCGTTGCTGACGCCTTTGCACCGAACTATTACCAGGCAATCTGCCAGTGTCACAGCTACCCTGCAGCTATGGTACTGCACCAGCCCTGCCGACCTAACACAACCCTCAGCTGTATGGCTTCCCACTGTGACGACTGGAAGTGGAGACTGAGTGGTGTGTACGTCTGCGGCAGGTTCTACCAGGGACGCCGGACAGAGGACGACGAGCGGCAGATTGGCCGCTGGGACCGCTGTGCCGGCGAGAAAGGACGCTGGAAAAACAACCTCATCGGAAAGGTGAGCTGAAACGGGCCGGGGACGGGCTAGCCAGAACAAACGTAACCTCAGGCCTAGCAACCAGAATTCATACGATTCGCCCGAATATCAATCGTAATTGTGTGGTCTAGTGTGGTGTGAATATGAATGGTAAGCTGTCATGCAGGGTAGTTGATCGCTTAGCTTCCCTACTAACAGCGAGCCACGTTGCCCTTCCACAGGTGGTCCGGAGCGGCTGTGCGTTCGACAACCCCGCCGTGTCGCCGGTGGTTCGTCAGACGCTGCTCCACTGGGGCTACGAGCTCACCGAGCATGACTACAAAATCGGCGCCAAGCGAGTAAAAAAGTGAGTCAACGTGGCGCACGGCGACAGCCGCGCCGGCGAGTGAAGACGGGGATGACCGATCTCGGCTGTCAGGTCACTGAGCAGTGGACAGCTGTCAGCTGATGTTACCAACTGTTAGGTGACAGGTCTGATCGCCAGTTGTTTGACACTGCAGACGCATCCCCTTGTTAGACACAGCTGTGTTTGGATGTCTGTAACCCATGCCTCAGGGAAACTGACTTCGGCATGGGCCTGTGTCGAGACATTTTGACACATTGACACCACCCACTCGCGATCACTGAGTAGTCTGTTTTCATTATCGTTATTATTTAACGACACATCAGTCATTCACCAGCTATTCTACTGTTCGAATTTGATCTTGTGTTTTGTCCTGAAGGGCGGCTGTGCCCGAAATATAAATATGCATGTTTTTGGATTTAAAGTTTCGAATGTTAATGAGGATGAGGTAAATACCGTTATGTTAACTATTAGCATCAATCTCACTGAGCGACGTTACGAACCACGTCATCACCGATTAATCGGCCACTTTTTGTTTTGTTGGGTTAGGCCCTTTCGGTCCAATTAGACCATTTCAGAGCCGGAAGGATGATAGGATTTAGGGGGAGACATTGGTCTGGGCAGGCACCCTAGTGAGTCGCCGGGGCTGAGCCCGTCCAAAGGACAGGCCACCCAGCCCCAAGGCACTCACTGCACCCGGCTACGGGGTGCGCTCCCTCGGGAGCAGCGGTGCCGCTCCAAGGGAGCAGCCCGCATGAGATAAAGTTGCCTGTCCAGCCCGGAGGGTGGTTGCGGCGTGGAGGAGAAGGATTTCTGTATCCTGAGGATAGAAGCATGGAACGGAGGGAATCGGCCACTACTCGACTAGCCGTCTTACGGTGGCATCTCCACCACTCCATAGAGAGGACGGTCGCTTGTTGTCTGGGGATCTGAGCGGATCTGTTCGTCCATTGTATGTGCTGTGTCTGAAGAATGTTTGGTCCAGCCCAGTTTTTTAATATTTTTACCAGAATATTAAGTGGTCTACCTCACAGTGGGCGTCGGAGCATCCCGCTCGTGTTTGTGACTTGTTCATTCTGACGTCATCGCTAAATGGCCTTTGTATTTCCAGCCGCATTCACTTAGTCTACAGTACACTGACTTTGTCAATGTGAGTCAGCTTAGTCATCAATAGTACAACGTTTTTTGCAACTCACAATGCTCTTTTTCGTCTCGTTTCTTATGTAATTAAGTCCATACACAGTCGCCTCCAGTCTTGTAATGTTTTATATGAAGGTAAAAATACATTCATGTGACTATTTGCTTTGTTTGATAATGACAGAAAATGAACCATAACAGATCAGAAGTAGCGAGTGGACGTGACCAATGGTCACTGACCATGTATGATGAAGGAAGCTGACACCGAAAATTGCACCAACTAGTTGGTGCAATTTTGCAATTTTGCAATTCAAACAAGTTGCAACTTGTACACGACAACAATAGGTTCTAATTGTTATTGTAAGATTAGGCACTGTATCGAATTCATTATGATCAGACCGGTTTCGGTGTATTAACACAAGTATAACGCCTTTTGGGGCGACTAACGGAGCGAGCGAGAGGGTGGGCCTTGCAGTTGCACGTGCGAAATTGCGATGGGGTACCTCCAACTAACTTGTGCACGGCACCCTACTAACCGGTCTCTAGCGACGTGCCAAATTTGGGCACAATCGGCCCAGCCGTTCTCGAGATCTGGAAGCGGCACCCTGCACGTGCGCACGTGCAAAATGGGTCCCAACTGACTTTTGCACGGCACTCTACTAACCGGTCCCTAACCATGTACCAAATTTGAGCGCAATCGGTCCAGCCGTTCTCGAGATCTGGAATCGACCCCTGCACGTGCGCACGTGCAGCAGCACCCCAACTCTGGCCAGGGTTGGCAGGGGGTGGCAAAAACTGGTTTTTGCCAGTGGTTTTAACCGGTTTAAACCGGCTGGCAGAAACCCTGGTGGCAAGAACTGGCAAAAACTGGCTAAAACTCAGATGGCCAAACCTACAACTTTTCTAGTTAGGAATGGATTTGAAATGTACAAATGCATTTCTGGTAGTTATATAGATGCACTAAACATTCTAAAGCTGCCTCATTACTTATCCCTGCTTAAAATGTCTATGCATGTCGGTAGACATCCACAACGGAACGTATTTCCATGTAGGGGAGAGTGGGGCAAGACAGCCACGGTAAGTAAGGTGCCATGCGGTGCCGTGCGCATATCAGTGGCAGATGCCCCTTCACACTTCTGATTGTGCAGGACTCACCCAGTCATCCTTGCACTGGCTCATTTGTCACCCCAAAAGGCATCTTACTAGCTCCTTATGGAAAGCCCATGAAAATGTTTGAGTTATGAAGCATTTCAATGGTCAATGTCACTTCTGTGTGAAAGCATAAAGCTTTCACCGAATTCTCCTTAAAATGCTTCATGTTCAAATTCATGTCCAAGCAAAGCATTGTGATATTTCTTAGTTTTTGCCAGTTTTTGCCACTTTTTGCCGGTTAAAACCGGTTTAAACCGGCAAATGGCATAAACTAGTTTTTGCCGGCAAAAATGCCAACCCTGACTCTGGCACATGGATATGCATTGTCTAGTGGGTGCCTACCTGCATGCCAACTTTCAGCGCAATCGGCCAAGTAGTTATCGAGATATTGCAACAATTGCAAAAGTGACACCTCTGCGTTTTGCACGTGGCACGTGCATAAGGGGTCACCCGCATGCATCGGGAATAGTCCAATACTTGGTAGAAGGAATGAAGCTACCCTACAAAAATTACCGCGTGTAAATCGGTCAAGTGGTTGCTGAGATATAAGCGTCGCAAAAGCGTGACCACGGCCGGCCGGCCGGCCGCTCATACAGGGTGACCCAGCAAAAGCAGGCCCCAACTTCCGATAGGCGTCATTTTTTAAGTAATGGTTTGAATTGAATGAAACTTCGGACACAACTGGTTTATTGTGTTCTAAGTACCATGTCAAAACACGAAAGCGACCGACCTCTCCTTGTTCAATCTAGAGCATGTGGTCGAGATGTCCTCCATTTAGCTCGTTACATTTCTTGAGGCGCAGCACGAAGTTGTCCATGACGGCCTTGCACACAGACCGAGGAATGGCTCTCATCTCCTCCCTGATGGCTTCCTTGAGGTCGGTGATGGTCCTGGGCTTCTCTGAGTACACCCGGTCCTTGAGATAGCCCCAGAGGAAGAAGTCTGGGGGACTCAGGTCTGGGCTATGGGGCGCCCACTCAAAATCAGTCTTCAGGCTGATCACACGACGTCCGAAGTTCTTTTTCAGCCAATCTCGGGACATCTTCGAGGTGTGACAGCTTGCTCCATCTTGCTGGAACCAGAACCTGTTCATAAGCGATGGATAGAGCGCATATAGCTCGCTCTTGAAGGCTTCGAGGACTTCAACATACCGTTCTTTGGTGACGGTCACTGTCGCTCCAGATTCCTCGAAGAACATTGGCCCGATGATTCCTCTTGCTGAGATTGCAGCCCATACCGTGCACCTAGGGGAATGCAGAGGCGTGGTGGCTACTTCTTGAGGCTTGGAGGTCCCCCAAAAGACATTTGTCTTCGAATTCACCTTTCCTTCAAGGTTAAAGTGAGCTTCATCGGAGGTCCAGATGAACTTCAGGAATTCTGGGCTTTCCTCCATTTTCTCCAACATCTTCACTGCCATAGCCTTTCTCTTCTCTTTGTCTGAGACAGTGAGAGTCTGTTTTGTCTGTATCCTGTATGGATAAGCCTTCATATCGTTAACAAGTACTCTCCTGCACGTTTCACGGGAAATACCGAGAGACTGACTTCGTTTGCGCAAGGAGCGTTTCGGACTCTGCTGTACTGACTCTCTCACACTCTCGATAAGTTCGGCTGTGCGCTTCCTGTTCGTACCTCCTGAGTGGCTTGGACGACGTTCGCTGGCTGCGTTGAGGCTTTCAACGGTTCCAAACTTCTCAAAGTGGTCCACCCAGTTCTGAATCCTGCTCTTGGAGGGTGCTTTCTGACATTCAAACTCATGTAAGAAAGTCTCCTGAGTTTTTTTTTAAACGAGCTTGTCTTGTAGTAGTGTTTTACACAGTATATTCTGTGATCTACCTTCCAATGAGGTTTCTTTGAGTTGTCAGGTGTTGCTTCTGCCATGTCCTGAAAAATAAACCCATTTGATCAATTATTATAGGAACTATAGCAAAAAGTTAGCACGGGGCCCGCTTTTGCTGGGTCACCCTGTACTCAGAAATTTCCGTTAATCTAAGGAAAGACTACGCTCGCTTCGCTCGCTCCGTAACCATCATCAGTGAGTAAAAATAAAAAAAAACATACAAATACATCGCAATCATTCCGTCGTTCGTAATATATGCATTCGAGACACTAATACAGGAAACAAGTACACTAATTCGTGCTACACAATACGCATGACAGTTATATTTGGACGCCTCTGTTGTATGTAGCGTCACTTATAGGTCACTCATAACACGATATTGAGTGGCAGCGCAGAGTTTTGGGAATTCAGTTTTGGTCTATGTTCACAAACATGTTCACAAACATAGACCAAAACTGAATTCCCAAAACTCTGCGCTGCCACTCAATATCGTGTTATGAGTGACCTATAAGTGACACTTAATACAACAGAGGCGTCCAAATATAACTGTCATGCGTATTGTGTAGCACGAATTAGTGTACTTGTTTCTTGTATTAGTGTCTCGAATGCATATACCAGTAAAACGCCTTTTGGGCGAAGAACGAGCGAGCGAGATAGTGAGCCCTGCACGTGCGGAAGGGCGAGAGGGTTCTTCCAACGGGCTTGTGCAAAGCACCCTTCTAACCGGTCGCTAGCGGTGTGCCAAATTTGAACGCAATCGGCCCAGCCGTTCCTGAGATCTGGAAGCGGCATTCTGCACGTGCGCACGTGCAAACGGGGTCCAAAATGACTTTTGCACGGCACCCTACTAGCCGGTCCCCAACCGTGTACCAAATTTGAGCGCAATCGGCCCAGCCGTTCTCGAGATCTGGAAACGCCCCCTGCACGTGCGCACGTGCAGTAGCACCCTACCTGCAACACATGGGAATGCATTGCCTGGTGGGTGCCTACCTGTATGCCAAGTTTCAGCGAAATCGCCCCAGTAATTACCGAGTTACTGAAATGGGAACAAATTTGGCACCTCTTCTTTTTGTATTTTGCACGTGCAGTGGGGGTCACTCACATAGATTAAGAGTATCCGACCTTTGGTAGAAGGGATGCAGCTACCCTATAAAAATTACCGCAAGACAATCGCTCTAGCTGCTGCTGAGATATGGGCCTCTCAAAATCACTTCTTTTGCAAAACTGCTTGAACACCCTTGACTTTTCACATGGCACGTGCCACGACGGTCACTGAGATGTATCAAAAGTAGTCAATTACGGGGTAGAAGGGATGGGGCTACCCAGCAAAAAAGACCGCAGGCCAATCGGTCCAGTGGTTGCTGAGATATAAGCCCCTCAAAAGCGTTACAGGCCGGGCCGGACGGGGCCGGGCCACTCATACTGAGATTTTTCCGTTATATTGAAAAGACTTCGCTTCGCCTGCTGCGCTCGCTCGCTCGTAACGAACGACTGAAGTCTGAATGATTGCGATGTAGGGGAGAGTGGGGCACATTCGTGCAAAAAATGGATAAACCCATATATCTGTTCTTTGGTTAGTGCAATGGCAAAATTGTTGATTGTAGTATGGAAAGGAACTATTGCAGATAGTTTTCCTCTTTAAAAGTTATCCTCTAAAATTATTGCTTCCATTAGAAAAAATGACTTTTAATAACTCTGAACATTTGCACGAAACTGCCCCACCTATGGGGCACATTCGTTCAAGAGGTGGGGCACTTCCGTTCACCCTGCAAAGTTCGAGAAATTACCGGGCATTACCAGAAATTTACCAAAGGAAATTGGCAGGGGGTCATTTCACTTGATTCCTTTCGACAAGAATGCATTGCACAACATATGTAGAAAGAATGGGCTGGCCAACAAGAATGTGCCAACTGCCGGCCTCCGTGACCTCGCCAAGTTCGCGTGAATTGCTCGTCACGACGTCGCAAGCAGTCGAGACTGAGTCAGGCGAACGTCATTAGAGAAACCTACTACAGATAAAGTCATGAATCGCAAAAACTAAAAAAAAAAAATGTGCACGAATGTGCCCCCAGGCAGTGCGTACACGAACCTGCCCCACAACGTTATTAGTAATATATTTCAAAATTTCTTTTTGAAAAAATGACACTTTTTCAAGTCAACAAACAAGTTTGCAGCAGTTCCGTGAATAGAGTGAGCTTCTTCACCCCCAATTTTGAAAAGCTGAACCACATTTCCGAGTCAGGATCACGAAAATGGATGATATGAGAAAGGTTTGGAAAGCTCACGAATGTTACAAATTTGCGTTTTTATCAAGCATGACAGTAGGTACAGTGTTATCTTCTACGGTGAACGAAGGGCGGCAATGATAGACATATTTCCATAATTTACCTTGAGCTCGTGCAGTCACTCGTGTTCCCATAAACTGCTGAAAACGAATGTGCCCCATGCACGAATGTGCCCCACTCTCCCCTATTTGTATGTTTTTTTTTAATTTTTGCTCACTGATGATGGTGTTAACCCGCGAGTTGCTGGGGGGGGGGGGGGCGTTCGCCGGGCCATAGCATAAAAACGGCGCGCCACAGGCGCGCCAAATTTTGGTTACCTGTAGGAGATTGATTGAAGTTTATTGTGACAACGTTTCAAAAAAATCGGTCGGAAATTTTTGTGATATCGAGGTTTTAGTGACGTCATGATTTCTGAGTTTTCGACCAAAAACGGCATGAGTTCAAAAAATCATATAAAATCACAGAATAAACATACAGACATGCCGTAAACGCCATTAGACTGGCCAATACCATGAACAATCAAATGGCTATCTTCGATTATTGATTATCGTTCCGCATTTTCCAAAATCTTGAACTGAATCTTGGCAATTTCTCGTGACTACTTCACGACCATGATATATGCATTTCTTAAATTGAACTTTTTGAGCCAAACACGTACACATATGATAAAATGAATGTTACCATCGTGTTCTACGCCCCAAATTACCCATAAAACATGTGTCACAGGCAGCGAATATCAGTTTTGATTTTCGGGGATATGTGCCTACCCGGTTGACCTGACCTTGACCCTGACCTATGCTTGACTGACCCCAACATGGAGCTGACACTCTTGTAGTCCTTATATGATGGATTGTGCACCGTTTTGACAGAGTTTATGACGAGAGGCGCTCATTGCGAAGTCCTGAAGTCCATGCTACTGAAAGCCCGATTTCAGGTGTTTGACCTGACCTTGACCCGACCTGTGACCTCAAAATTCAACTTTAAAGTATTCATCTGAAGCGTCTCGTCGCGTTCTTTCGTTTGCCGCCTCGTGCGTTTCGCTGCGCCTATTGGTTCTCGAGTTATCGGCTGGGGGCGTTTAACGCCCCCCCCCCCAGCAAACGGTGGGTGGCGAAATACCCCAGCAACTGCCGGGTTAATACACCGAAACCGGTCAAATTGTTATTGTATGGCATAGTTTCCATTGAATATGCCGTTATGCTGATTCATGTACGTACGTTGGCTTTCATCGGAATTACAGGTGGTCTTAAAAGATTTCCATGATATTTCCTCCCTGGGGAGTTTATGGTCAATGCTAAGTTTACACAGCCTCCCCCCCCCCCCTGATGGAAAAGGCCTCTAGGCGAAAGCTCTTCTCGATTGAGATATTCACGGTAGGTGCCCAGCGGTACAGTATAACTTCAGGCGCACGCCACTAGAGCCATCTAGCGGATAGATGGTAAGTGTGCTGTTTTTAGGGCGCGGCTGTAGGTGATGAGCAGCGCAGTATAAATTCAGGTGATAACTTTCAAAGATATGTTATGGTGGGTTTATCAAACCCGATTGATGATGATTCTTCATGGCTCCGAGTGGAAGATAAAGATATATTTTTCAAGCGGCTTACTGAAAAACCGAGCGACGAAGGAGCGATGTTTTTGTGGAACACGAGAGGATGAATATACAGTGTAGCATTGTAACGAGACTTCAACTTCAACCAAACGCATTTTGGTTTCTAGCTGTATTTCGCTTCGACTCTTCAAATGCCATTTACCGTGCTGACCCTATTATATGAGTGACCACCTTGACACGGGTAACCAACAACGTCCATTCACTGACTGTGACCATGACCTATTCGCATCGACAGCTGCCACGCGGCGTGGCAGAAACGCTCAACTCCGCCGTTCAGAACACAACACCAATCACGGCAGTACAGAGTCTCTGCCGGCCTCCTGAGGGCGCCCCTGGTCACCGGCACTACAGGGTGCCCTTACCCAGCGGCACAAGAGGGCGCCCTTAGCCACCGACACCAGAGGACGCCCCTTGTCACCGACACCTGAGGGCGCCCCTAACTGCCGGCGCCGTAGAACGCCCATGGCTACCGGCATCTAAGAAAGCCCCTAGCCACAGGACGCCCTGGCCGCCAGGCGCGTCCTGTGCCGGCACGGCCCCCTGATACGGCCGACAGTAGTCCCCCTCCCCTCCCTCAATGGACCATGCCACACTGGTCGGAAACGCTCCAGCGAGAGGCCAGCGGCCTTTCCGCAAAAGTTTTTTGCTTGTTATTCCACAACTAGTGAAGCAAACTTCATAAAACTTTGCATACCTTCTCTGTCATATGTAAGCTATCATTTGGATGTCAAGCACTAAATATATGACGTGAATCTGCTAAGTTATGACGTCATAATTGAGTATAATACAGGATCTAGCACCACTTTAAGTGAACAAGGGAAATTGGAAGCTGCTATTCGGGCACCGGGAATGGTTTCATGCACTCCTTGCAAGGTCCGGTGCTTCACTTTAGCATTGTTGACTTTGCGTGACGTTATTTATGACGTCACTAAGGCCATATAAGTTTTTCGTCAATAACTCCTGATCAGATGGAGCTAGAGAGTCGGGAAAGCCACCATTGGACTCGGGAAGACCTGCCGAATCGAGTGATATGCGATATGTCCTCCTTCAACCATTTTCGTGACCTGAGGGGCTCCGACCTGACCTTGACCCGAGGTTAACGCCTTAAGTTGACTTCACCCGAACACCAAGTATAGCATTCGACGCTCCTGAGCTAGACAAACACGATGATGCCAAAATCGCGGCAGTGCGACCATTTTTGGCAAAGTAATTAACCTAAAACCGAGCCCGTGCCTTGTGGCACTTACCTGACCTAAGAGGTCACTGGCTGACCTAAGACCTTAAATCGGGTAGTACTTGCTGCGTCTTATAACGGCACACAAGCTCGTTTTTTTCCCGCGAGGCTGTAGCTCAATTAGAGGCGAAACGGCGAGGGAGTTGTATCAACCCTCCCCGGTCAATATAGAAAACCAATCGGTCCGGCCAGGGCTAAATACCGGAATTGTGATCTAATGTAAAAAGACGGCCCAAGGTAACCTGACGCCAGTGACAGGTGTCCTGTATTCGCAGCGTCTTATATTCACGAAGGTCTCAGTTTCCACTTTCTTCAGCCGAGTGATGGTTACTAATAGCAAGGCTCTCTAAATGCAAGCCGTAATCGCCACGCAATATGTGGAAGGCTTTTGATGTCAATACATACATAAATGCAATAATAAAACCATATTGTATGCGCTTTCCACAAAATTCATAAACTCAAGCGCGTCTGTTTTTAATGACCAGTCAACTACGCATGGATGCGTGCAGGCCACACAAGTCAGCGTAAGCCGGGCGCGGCGGCCGGGCCGAAACTGGGGCGGGGCGGGCGGTAGTTGGGTAGGAATAGCGGCTCCTGCAAATTTTGCGCAAATATGCGCAGTTAGCTTTTATGTTGCCCTGGTGTAAATTTAAATCCTGCTTCATCTCACAAAAAATCAGAGTGGGACTAGATGGGACTACCTGTTGTTTCCTTACCTAAACTTTGCAGTTATATTCCAGAATCACTCTAGGAGAGCCCTCATAAAAAAGCTACAGTAGATCTTAGTTGGGGAAAAAGTATACCAAAAAAATTGCACTGACCAGTCGGCAACTTCATAACAAACATTTTGATGCATAATATGTGGGATTTCAATTTGGTGTCTATCAGCAATAAGACTCTGAATATCCGGCTCAAGAAACCTCTTGCTCCGCGTCAGTTTCCGAGTTCTGGGAAACCCCATCTTCGGGGGCTGATTACAGTTATTTTTGGTCACTCGGATTAGTTTTTTTGGCCTGATTATAATAATTTGATCAATTTCAAATCGATCTATATAAAAAATAATCCGAAACTCCGGAATCGCCCGTGGCCTCTCGTGAGGGCGTTTCCGACCAGTGTGCATGCCGCTGCTAGGCCACTCGTACGTGTTCAGCAGCGGACTCTCGTACGAGAAGTCGTACCGGTGCGTCTCGATATAGGCGAGCAGGTCATCCGGATGCGGGTACACGGACGCCTCCCCTGGGAACGGCGGACAGAGGTCAGAATCATCGCACAGTCACAATGGATCACGTAGAATGACGTAACGGTAGGTAACAGTAGTTCAGCTGAGATGTAGTATTGCTCACCGTGAGGTCTTGACAGGCATTAGGCAATGCTCGTTTATACGTAAAAGTCGTAGAGATAGCTGCTGCAGTTCAGAGGAGGATAAAGGTGCACTCGCGTTGCGGAAAGTTTCGCATCCGTGAAAGACCAAAAAGTTTATATTTGCAGTTTACATCAAATGTTGCATATGACATATGCGACTACCTTGCCTCGCTGATAACTCAAAGTGTAGACTAAAATTGATCATGTGTAGATGAGGGTTACACCTTGTACGCGCTTATCGCAAACGCGATGCAAATGTGTTACGGGCATCACATCACGTTCCACGAAAGGCTACGTTGCTATTCCTTTCATACAAAATTGCACGCATTTTGTGGTATGAATATCCGTGACAGGGTGCAACATCGATGCTAGCAGGCTGATAGGTATCTCACAAGCTACTGAATTTCACTGCTGACTTGCCAGGACGTAACGAAAACCTACCAATGGCACAGACAGTTTCGACTGTGCTGACAGCACTAAACGCCACTGAACAAATATCAGATCAAACCAAAATCCACTGACTACAAATAAAAACGGCAGGAGATAGAGACAGAGAACTGGAGTTAGGTAAAGATCATGCCAAGGAAACAGGAAATGACTGCTTGAGGCATGCAAGGTAGCTGCGAAAACACGCAAAAAGCGCAAATTCTCAAACAAACGGCAGTACAAGCTAGTGGAGATGCGCACACACAAATCACACGAAGCAGCCTCCGTTCGTGAGGGCTGTGCGCCGGCTCTACACTAGCCAACACGAGCTGACACAAGGGGGCGCTGCACGGACCTCGCTGCGCCGTCGCCAGCTCAGACACTTGTCGGCCACGGGTAGACCTGCTCTAACGGGTTAGCGTAGTGATAGTCGTACAGCTGACTGCGCACAAAGGCGTTCAGATCGGCCGGCTGGGGGTAGGTGGACGCCTCGCCTGAAACACCGGCACATCGGCGCCGGACGTGAGTTTAGAGACCGGGTCATGTCGGGTCCGTCGGCTTCACCAGTGTCGCCAGTGCCACCTGTAGGACATATCCAGAGCCCGAGAGACCCACAGCCAGTCCCACGACACGCTACAGCCAAGCTACCCAGCAGCCCCGCGACAGCGCTCTGCGGCTTCTCAAAGCCCCTCTACAGCTCCCAAAGCCCCAGCAGCCCCACGACAGCTCTCCACAGCCCAGCGGTCTGTAGTCCCCAGCAGTCCCTCCACAGCTTTTTACAGCCCCAGCAGTCTCCCCAGAAGCCCCAGCACCCTCATCTGTAAGCAAACAGCACCCGTCAGATGCAGCACTCGCGACGGGGCTCGGCCCGCTTCTGAAGCAGATGTTCCCAGCCAGGTTCACAGCACGGTGCAAGCAGCAGCCACTGTGTAGCTCGGTGTAAGGCGCACAAGGTGACAAGGGCATCCAGGAAATGGGTGTGGTGTTTAGGCGGAAATAAAGGTAACCGGCTAGAAAATACGTCTCGCTAACGACAACCCTTCTTTATAGTGTCTGTCAGCTGGAGACCGCAACACTGTTCTGAAAGATGGCTTTGCAATCAAAGGGGAGCCCTTTAACCCGCGCGGGGCTGGGGTCTCCAGCCGAACGCGCGGGGCTGGGGGGGGGTAAATTTTACCCCCCCTGTTATCTCCCGAACTAATGGTCCGATTTGGAAAATTCAAACGCCAATCGAAAGCTCTCATCACGAACTACTAAAAACATGTACTTAATTTAAAGTTTGAGGTCAAGGTCAAGGTCAGGTCAAGGGTACAAATTGCAAGTTTCTACAGTATCGGCCTTGCACCGTAGTTGCCGAAGAATGGAGTCATGGACTGAGACTGATCGCCCAAAACGTGTTCTTAGGCTACCAAGACAATATTCGTTGCATACAATATCATTCAGAGGTCAAGGTCAAGGTCAGGTCAGGTCAGGTCAGGTCACCAAAAAACAAAATATAGAAAAGGGCATGTGCGACACATGTTTTATGGGTCATTTTACTCATAGAATTCAATAGGCACACTCAATAAGTGATATGGACCACCTCTGGATGAATTTCAGGTCGAGGTCAGGTCAAGGTCAGGTCAAGTGAGGTCAAATTTTGAAGTTGGTTGTTAAGGCCTAAAAAGGTGTCTATCTGATGCAGTTTTTCACGGCGAATCGAATGGTGCTATTTTTGTTTCCGTACGAGGTCTAGAACTTCCAAAAAAGTCATTTTTCAAAAAAATTTGTGTGTCGTGACGTCATAAAATTTTAAATAACTCCCACATTTTTTAACCGATTCTTCTAAAATTTGGTATGTAGGTGCACATAGACCACTTCTCTGACATATATTCCGGTTTTTTCGATAGACTCAAAATTTTGGATTTTATAATGATTTTCCCAAAAAAGTCAGTTTTTTTAAATTTAGGCCAAAATCCAAAATTTTCAAAAAACCGAGATAGCCATTTGATAGACAAAGTAAAATTACGTATAACCTTTTTTGTTACGTCTTGATTCCTTTAAAAATGAAGATGTTAGCGGCGTTTGAACTTTTGCCGTTTTTGAGGCGAAAATCGCGAACATGACGTCACTAAAACGTCAATTTCTCAAAAATTTTCCGACGGATTTCGCTCAACTTTTCAGGGAACGTGTCAAATTGATGTAAGAAAAGGTACTGAAAGTTTGGCGGCGCTGCGCGCCGCCGTTTTTGAGATATCGCGAAAATTCGCGAGGGGGGGTAAAATTTACCCCCCAGCCCCGCGCGGGTTAAGATTTGTGATCATTTTCATTTCGAAATAACAAGTAGAAACTAGAAATATATACATGGTGACGAGGATATGTCCTCAAGTGGACCAGATGGTGCCTAAATCCGTGTTCAGGACGCACATCTGATGATGAATCTTTACAAGGCTCCATCCCGATCGCATTTCCTTATGCATAACAAAACATCATTCTCACTTAACAGCGACCAAGCTCAAGCCCAGCTCCTCTCGCAGCGGATTATTCGGAGCCCCAGAGTCGGCGCCGGGCCGGGCGGCCGCTGACTCGGGCTGCCGTTTATTGATTGAGCTACAGTCGATCAGAGGGGCCGGGACAGCGGGGGAAGCCGCTTCAGTGCAGGACACGCTACTGCGCGGTACGCACGGGCATTGTCCGTCCTTCCGGCACTTCATTACTGAGGGTCGCTGACAACTGCAACTGCAGCTCGTCTGTCAGTCGCAACTCCTCTGCAGAGCTGTCGTCTTTACGAATGGCTGACACCTGGAGTCAGTACCATATACATTGTTTTAGGATGTAAGTTATACGACAATCTCGTCTCCTCTCTCTCATTCCATGCTTAACTCCATCAATCTCTCAGCTGTGTCCAGAGTCCACTCCCAGCCACGAGCCTGGTGTGTGAGAGCTCTGACCTGCCAATGACCCCTTCTGCCACGCTCTCCCTTCCTGTAGACGTGCTCTGCCAGCTCGGGGTGTGACCCTGACCTGTCTATGACCCGGCCCCGTTCCCCCGTCACGCTCACCCGTCTTGTAGGCGTGCTCCGCCAGCTGTACGGCGATCTGTAGTGACACATCCCGAATGTTCTCCAGGGGCGGGTACAGCCGGCCGACGTCCAGCTCCTGGTCCGTCACCATCTTCGCTAGCGCCTGTCACACACAGACACACATAAAAAAGAATTATTAGATACCCACACAGTGGCTGGTTACATTCGGTGACTGGTGCGATGGGCCCTTGCGGTCGTAAGTCACCAGCATCTGTCCCACACTTCTCAAAGATATAAGGTGTACCTCATAGTTTGAGATCGTTCCTCTTCAACAATCAAGTGCGGCAACCTATTCCTAGCCGGGACTCGCGCATACCCTGGAGCAGGATGGGCGACATCAGTCACCAGGCCTCCTCCATCACTGACCTCAGCCGCTCGCAGGAAGACGTCCTCGCCGATGTGGTGCATGCCCGAGGCGATGACGCCGAGCGCCACGCCCGGGAAGATGTAGGCGTTGTTACCCTGGCCAGGGTACAGCGTCTTGCCGTTGATGGTCACCGGGGCGAACGGAGAGCCCGACGCGAACACGGCCCGACCCTGTCAGGCACACCGGGGGACGAGTTGTACTCAGCATGGGGAAGAGCTCGGTGGATAACGATCCTTTCCAGCACACGTATGGAGGGGGACTCATGGACACTCGAAGCAAAGCACTGATGGATTTCGCTGAGACATAGGTGCGTTGGTGACGCGGAGAGCGGAACAACCAATGCCTGCTGGTGCCGTGCGCTCTCCTGTCCTACAAGTCATCCTTTTGAAAGTCATCCATTCTTCCCTCCTCAGCGGTCTTCTCACCTGAGTGGCCTGGTAGGCCTGCTCGGCTGTGCACTCGGCCATACTGGTCGGGTTGCTCAGCGCGAAGATGATGGGCTCCTTGTTGTACTCGCCCATGTCCTTCAGGATCTCGGCGGTGAAGGCCTGCGGCTGGGCGGCCGCACCTGTGACAACAGCGCAAACACGAGTCACTCATGGCACCGGCAGGGTTAACTGAATTCACAGCACCTTCAAAGGCCAAGATACAGCACACAGTTTGTGAAACCGAACCACTTTTGCCATGAGCGTAACGACTGGGCTGAGTCATATCGCCGGTTAAAAAAAATCGACGGAAACCTACCGATCAACGCCGAGGGCTTCAGCTTCTTGACGACATCTCCGAGGTTCTTCATGGGCTCCATGTCCTTGGCGTAATCGACCTTGTGTCCGGTGACGCCTCCCTCGGGCCGGTTCTTGACGATCAGACCGCGGGAGTCCACCATGAAGATTTTGTCGTGGGCGGCCTGCGAGCTGAGGCCCTCCTGCTCCATCGCCATCACGCACAGGTTGGCGATACCGAGCGACGCCTGGTGGTATGGAGATGCAGCGTAAAGGTCGTTCTCCACGGTACATGTTTTGCGCGTTTTTAATGACGTTTTAACGCTTTTTTGATGTTTTGCGAGTTTTTCATGATCCGGCGTTGATCTGTACCATTAAATTACACGGTGCCATCTCCACGGCGGAAGATTTGTCAAAAATCGAAAAACGAGTGGCTTCATAAAATCAAAAAACTGCAAAACTCGTAAAACGCGTCAGGTTGTGTCATGCAAAACTCGTAAAACCTTTAAAAAACGCAAAACTCTCATTTGTAAAAACGCGCGATTTTATCCAAACATTTGGATCGAATGAAAGTTTTCCGGTTTTTGACAAGGCTAAGAAGGTAATCCTTCTGCTATTAATACCATTTTACGGTGAAATGGATGCAATGGAAAGTGTGGAAAGCGATGAAACGCAATTTGATTAAGCCAATGATCGTGGCAAGTACTCAGACAACCATACCAATAACTTCTGTTGCTATTCCAACGATGTGGATGTCAAATAATTACATAGTGAGTCTATGGATAACAGATATTACGATATCAGATCATTTCAGATAATTGATAATTAACTGATGTCATAGCGGTGATAACAATAGGGTAACGTGATGATACCCCTTTAACTATCTTTACAGCGAAAATCGAGGGGTTAATAGAAGCCGTGCGCCAGATGCCTGCCCTGTGGGACAAGAGGGCCACGGCATACAGCGCACGAAGGGCGGAGAAAGATGTTCTTTCTCTGAAATTGAAATTTTTCTGAAATTGTAATTGTTCTGAACGACTGACAAACTAAAACCGTAAAAAGCGAAAAACTCGCAAAACTCGCAAAAGCGTCTGTTAAAAAGCGAAAAAAGCGCAAAACTCTCGTTTGCTAAAACGCGTAAAAACCGAAAATGTTTACACGTGGAGACAGTACTTAAGAGTCAGAAGGTGTCAGAGGAGGTTGACAGTCACACTCACATAATTGCGAGTAAGTTGGTAGTGTACTTTTCCATTACATTTTAAAGACATTTATTATCGTGTTGAAACTGATTGGCCAGCTGACTTCAATTGTATTTGGGTGTTACCTGAATCGGGTGAAGGGAAAACTGGTAGTGCACATTTAGCCATATGCAAGAAGGTTTACTGCTTCACCATCGCCACAGCATATCATCGAATGATCCGCAGGTATGCAGTCGGCAACATTGGTACCCGTCAGTTCTGACTCAGTGTCGCTAACTGGCGATTTCATCAGGCCCGAACGACCGTTAGTTCGATGAACCGGACTGTGATTCCAGCAGCGGTTCCTTCTGATTCTACCGACGGCTCTAAAAACAAACAACCCTCAGCGGCTGACGTCGGGCCGTGCAGCGTTTCTCGGTACACAACCTAAACCCGACAGGTGCCGATAATCCCCGTCATAGTGTGGTTGGCCCGTGCACTGACCTCTCCGGCTCCCAAGAACAGGAATGTGTGATCGGACAGCTTGGTGTTCAGCTTCCGCATGGCAGCGAGCAGGCCGGCCACCGCCACCGACGCCGTGCCCTGGATGTCGTCGTTGAACGTGCAGTACTTGTTGCGGTACTTGTCCAGGAAGCGGAACGCGTTGTGGTTGCCGAAGTCCTCGAACTGTCAGAAGATAAGATGGGTCAGTGCGACACGAATCTTTGATAACATACATACATATACTTTAAATACATGTCCGACGAAATGTATCGCTTGAAACAAGTTGTATTGTTTTTATAAGAAGGAAACAAGTATGTTGAGCGATTTGCTGACTCTCGTACGAGATCTCCAAACCGAGTATCCAGCTTATCCAGCATCTATTGCGGGATCCGTAATGCTCCAACAATCTCTCGAGCGATTGATACCCAGGTCATACGAGTATCCCCAGCACCGACCCTGTTCCGCTCCCGTCTATGCGCTCACCTGAATCAGCGTCTTCTGGCCGTACCGTCTGACGGCGGCCTGCATGAATTCGTCGACAAACTCGTCGTAGGCCTCGCCCGTCACTCGGTTCTGCTTCAGGCCGATGTAGAACTCGTCATTCAGCAGATCCTGGGAAGGTGAAAAAAATCATAACTGATCACTGAAGTCCTTTGGCACTCTATGACCGATTCATTTGAGTTATCCTGACCAACGGGATAGTCTGGCTTCTTGATTTATTAGGGTCGAACTGTATGCCATGAATTCACCTTTGATGAAGCACAAATAGCCGGCTTTGTAGCTGCAGATACTAAATCCACTGACCTTGTTGTTGGTGCCGACGTCGAGTACGATGGGCAAGCACTGCTGCGGTTTGATGCCGGCCAATGCAGTGTACAGCGAGAGCTTGCCCACCGGGATGCCCATACCCTGGGCACCCAGGTCTCCCAGGCCGAGGATACGCTCTCCGTCCGTCACCACGATGGCACGGACGTCCTGCTCCGGCCTGACGGTCAGAAAGGGCAGATACAGTCAGGCCGAGTCAGTTCTGTGTCCATGCCATTAGAGGGTCAGTGACAAACATAAACCGAGGCCGTGATAGGCCAAGTGATAACGTGGTGATAACTAAGGGCCAGACGAACTATTCTGCGGCATTTCACCGGCCAAGTCTCCAGCTTCCCGCTCCTCCACTCCCCTCCTCTTCCAGCATCCAGCGCTGTCGGCCCAGCCCAGCTCAGTGTAATGCTAGCGCAGCGTTGCTTACCAGTTGCGCATGACGTCGTAGATGTGTCCCTTGTCATGGATGGTGATGAAGAGCCCTCGCGGCCGCCGGTAGATGAGGCCGAACTTCTGGCAGGCCAGCCCGACGGTAGGCGTGTATACGAGCGGCATCATCTGCTCCACGTTCTCCGAGAGAACCCGGTAGAACAGCCGCTCATTCCGGTCCTGAGAGAGGCGAGACGTCACCCTGATGTCATGCCTAAACAGTTGTTGGCCCAACCCGAAAGTCTGAAGATCTTTGTTCACCTGGTGTTCGATAGGGAACAAAAAATACAAAGTTTAAGGACGCCGAGGTCAAAGGACGGTACCAGTATGCATAGCTACAGTCCTGGTATTGGGGATTTGACCTTGATTTTCATCGAAGTTCACGTGTCATAAAACAGCAAATGGCCAGTCACTTTAGATGTGACCAATGACCGTTTCATGTCACACCCGAATTATTCTGTATGAAAATAAACATAGGCGTCGGCCACCCAGAATTTGTGTCCGGTCATAACCAGTATCATGTGTCCGACCAATTCCAGAGTCGCAGCTCACGACCATACGTACAATAAATGTGCGTGCACCAAAAGCATAGGTAAGGCACTCTTGAAACTTTGCGTTGTAAGTGGTTGATCCATTTAGCTCTGCGATCACTACGCGCCGTACCTGCAGGCCCATCAGGTAGATGAACTTGTTGAGGTCCTCCTGGTAGCGGGAGATGTTCTTCAGGCACAGGTCGACCTGTTCGTCCTGTGTCTTGAAGCGGGGCGGCAGCAGGCCGTGGATGCCCAGCCGCTGGCGCTCCTCCAGCGTAAAGGCCATGCCCTGTTGGTAAAGAGAGGGGAGAGTCGCAGTAAGGGCGATACGGGACGGTCATGGAGTTTTCCAGCGGGGATCGGCGCAGTAGTTAACAGATGTGTGCGATGGAACGTTTACATGTAGGGCCATGTAGCGCGATGTGCGCAGACGGAACTTAAATTACATAAGTGACCTTGCGACGAACATCGCATACGGTCCTCCCGTGATCCCCAGCAGTCCCTGTGGTCCTCTCATGATCCCCAGCAGTCCCTGTGCTCTTCCAGTGGCCCCCAGCGGTCCCCGTGGTCCTCCAATGGTCCTCAGAAGTCCCTGTGGTCCTTCTGTGATCCTCAGCAGTCCCTGTGGTCCTTCTGTGATTCTCAGAAGTCCCTGTGGTCCTTCTATGATCCTCAGCGGTCCCTGTGGTCCTCTTATGATCCCCAGCAGTCCCTGTGCTCTTCCAGTGGCCCCCAGCGGTCCCCGTTGTCCTCCAATGGTCCTCAGAAGTCCCTGTGGTCCTCCAGAGTTCCCCAGCGACTGGAGCGTCGTGCCGGTGCGGGAGCTCACCTTGTTGAGCCGCGTCTCTCGAACGTTGTCGATGCCTCGCACCATGTTGGGACAGGGTTTGTCGGGGGCCGACTCCTGTACGGAGCGGCGCCCGGGCCGGTCGGCCAGCCGGCCCGACAGGGCTCCGGATAACACCCGGCTGCCGGCGGCCGGCCTGGAACACAGAGCACACGTCAGAACACAGAGAACACACGGAGAGCACGTCAGACAGGGATCCGGATAACACCCGGCTGCCGGCGGCCGGCCTGGAACACAGGACACACTTGAGAACACAGAGAACACACAGCACGCGTCAGAACACAGGGAACACCCGGCTGCCGGCGGCCGGCCTGGAACACGGAGCACACGTCAGAACACAGAGAACACACGGAGCACGCGTCAGAACACAGGGAACACCCGGCTGCCGCCGGCCGGCCTGGAACACGGAGCACAAGCCAGACAGAGAACACACGGACGATATGGTCCCCAGGCTGGCTTAGAGCATCGTTAAAACTCAGAACGCATAGGGCACCCGGCTGTCGGCCTGTACAGCACAGATCCGGCGCCCGGCAACCGTCTGAATAAGAGCGAAAATTCATTTACAACAGTAGGCAGCTTGACATAGCATATATGTAAAAACATACCGCGCGCAGCACAGCCGTTCTTATAGGTACACCGAGTGACACTGGTCTGAAGGTGTTACTAGTCAGATATGAGAACCGGTCATGAGAAATATGTTCGGTGGGGTCAAGGGGTATGTTCGAATATGGGGTCATTGGGTTCGATCTGTTTACGTCTTCTATTGGTGACAGAGTGCCTGTCTCATACGCCGTGTGTATACCACATCGAGTGTTTATTTTCCAGGTGCCCATGCTGTCAAACGTGCGAAAAAAATATGCAATTAGTAGTACCTACGGGACCGTGTCTAAGTAAGTTAATACGTTTAATGAACTGCAAACAATTAATCAAACAAATGCCGTCAATAATGTGAATGTAGGACCCAAGTAACCGCTAGCTACATTCTCTAGAACCTACCTGGAAGTCAACATCATAAATCGATAGATACTGGCTTTATTTTCACCAAAGATCCACCCACGTACAGGCCTGCATCGATAAAACCGGGACATTTTTCTGTCGCTGTGAGAACCTACATCTGAGTGGTCATGTTGCTTCCAAGCAGGAGCCGATTTCTCCGGCAAGGGTTATAATAACTATCAAATGTTTTTCCTGCTTATCTGAAGCTTCATTACCTACGCGTCAATTTGTGAACCGATTTGTAAAAATGTTATAATCGGGAAAATCTTATATTTGCTGCCCTTTCTATCAGGTATGTGAAAAAGTCCAGAAATAGGTATTTGTGAGATGTACCACACTTGCTACTGCCTTCGATGGATGCCTTATGACCTATTGAAGTGGAAGATGAGGAGCGCTGGCATGTGCCTTTGTCTGGCACCGCTCTCCGTTCCGGCGGAGCGGGAGGTGGGAGGGGGGGGGGTGGACCGGCCGGTGGCTGTTGGGTCACAGGACCCTGGCAGCCAGCCCGGCCCCCCGATATACACCTGCCAGTGGCGCTGACAGGGTGCCAAGACGGTGACGGGCCTCAGCCGAGCCCCCTCCGAGCCCGCGACGAACTCACCGCCCCCGGCATCCGACGCAGACAAGGCACAGGCGAGGCCGGGACGGTTCGACAATCCCCCTCCCCGCCTCTCGGGCATCCAACGCTGGCGATACACAGACGAGGCCGGCATAGATGAAGGCTCCGTCTCGACCTGTCCGCCACCGGGCATCCAACCGCAGACGAGACCGCAGACGAGAAGTAGGCGAGGGCGAAACGGTTCGATAACCCCTCCCCTCTCCCCGCCACTCGGGAATCCAACGCTGGCGAGACACAGACGAGGCCGGCATAGGTGAAGGCTCCGCCTCGACCTGTCCGCCACCGGGAATCCAACACAGGACACAGGCTAGGGCGAGGCAGTCAGGCCCAGCCTCCTCTCCATCCCACCCCCGCCTCAGGGCCTTCAACTCAGACGAGACGCGAGGGCGGGGGCTAGTGAAAACCTGGCTCCGACCTCCCCGACCCTGAGCACCCAACGCAGACGAGGCCGCCGGCAGCCTGGCACCGCCTCGACGTTCCGACTCCGGACATCTACCAGTCTCAGACGGTTCTCGGCAGATAACGCTCCTGTCCTGCTCCTGAGAATCCTTCGCACGGGTCTAGACTATCCGGTCCCAACGTCCCCGGCTCTGGATATCTACCGTATTCTTGGCGAGCCTCAGAAGCGCCTGCTCTTCCCCACCTCGACCGCTCTCGCACCTGGTAAATCACTACCGTACTGAAACGGTCCGTCTGGCCCCGCCCGGCGCCCCTTCCTTCCCCGAGTATCCAAAGGAGAGACCGAGCTGGTGGTACCGACTTCCCCGGCCCCAAGCACCCACCAAACTAAGATTGGCGCCTCGGTAGAGCCCGCTTGGTCCCACGTAGGGCACCCTCACACCTGGAAAAACACCACCGTACTGAAACGGCCCAGCCGGCCCCGCCCCCACCTCGTCGTGCATACTGCATACACCGTCACTCGTCGGTTTCAGATTAGAGCCATCCGGTTCCACCCCTCCCCGCCCATCCCCCGAACACACCCACTGCCTGTCCAGCCAGTGACACGTGAGCCCCTCCCCCCCCCCCACCCCCACTCCACCTAGTCACGCGCCCGCATCCTACCCAGACAAACGCCTCAGGGCGCTGAAAACGTCAGAGGTCATACGACAAGGTCGGTGCCGGACACAGAGGTCACCGGTGAAGGTCATCCTACAATGTCCAACTTGTTGCTAACGGAAATTGCCTGACCACTGTTCGTCGTAAATTTGGGGTCTTGGTATAATAACGGCACTCGCCGGCATTTGATTACCAAGCCGGTTACATAAAAACAGGTTGCAGCCTGGCCGTTGCAGGCTTGCAAAAGCAAATGGCACTGCTTGAGGGCTGCTGCGCAGGACTACACCAATATTATTGACCTCTGACTAAGTCGTCAGACTGCGTAGGCCCACGCTAACTTACTTCGGCCGGCCCGGCACCAGAAGTTGCTACAGCTAACCCTTGTGTGTATGAAGGTGACTTTGGGCGGCTGGACCCACCTGTTTAGGGACCGGCGTCAGCTGGGGCAACCCTAGTCAGCTGGTCCGACACCAGCCCGCCCAGTGACCGCTCCTATCCCATCAGGGTGGGGTTAGGGGTGGGATAAGACAGAGCAGCAGCGGCTCGGGTGCAATCCCAAACGTGCAGTCTACTCACAGGCCGGTGAGGCGGGCGGTCACTCCCAGCATTGCGGTGGACGGTGCGCGGTGGACGACTGCTCCGCGCTGCCCGGCTCACGGTCGTGTGAGCGTCGGTCGATCGCCGCCGCGGCCGGCGCAGGCGCGCGCGCAGTCGCCACTCAAAATAGAGCACGGCGCGGAGCACGGCCGCGGCCACGGCGCCCGCTACGCTACACCGTCGGCTGACGCGCCCTCTCTGAGCGCGGCTGCAGTGCAGCTGCAGGGCCGGCGCGGCCGTCAGATGGGGTGCGCGCTGCAATATTATCAGCCGTTGTTTTCCGTCCGCTCGGCGCTCGGTGCAGGGCAGGTGCCACCGGCTGGGTACTGCTGCTGCAGGCCCGTCCGTTATCTCTCTCCGAGTTGAGTGATAATAAACCGGCCAGCTGGTGGTGACGGCCGTGTTGATGGGTAGGCTCCGCGGTGGCACCGTAAGGTTTCTGTCGCTGCTGTCAACAGAGCCGGGAGGGGCTCGTCACCTGACCGAACTGACCCGGCGGGTGAGGTTCGTTAATCGTTACCATTCGTTACGAGTGACAGTCTGCAAAGGACCGGGAGGAGTGATACTCTGTATGTAGAGACTAGAGAGACTCTTCTTTTACCTTCCGGACAAATACGCCCGCGAGTTTTTCATAACTGTAGTGAAGGCAACGGTCAACGACTGTTGCTTTTATGTAGATATTCGAGTAAATTTGGAAGGTGACACAACCCGAACCGTATAACAACTATTTTAAGAGGAATGAGGACTAAATTTGACATATTGAACAATGAACATTATGATTAAACTAAGGTAACAACATTTATTTTGTCGGAAATTATCCTCGAAAAAGTTGCCATCATGAGTTCTATTCTCTTCGCCGAGATTATTCACGAGATGATAAAAAAAGTTAAGATGAAAGCCTATCCAGTTTAAAGAAAATCTCAATAGAGTATGAATACCTACGTTTGTTTTAGAAACAACACATAAAAAAACACTTACCAGAGCCGGCTTGACTTGGCTGTAAGCCTTTTACGATTACTCTGCAGACGATCACTTACCTACAGGATTCTTTAGTGCCCTGCCTATAGCGTGGTCGCTTTCGTGAAGGTGAATTTATTTTGGCTGTAAACTACACAGTTCTCGCATAATAAGTCGGCAATAAGATATTGGATTACGCCCGCAACCTTTCAAGCTGCCTAAGGAGCATCGACTCCGCTGGAAAAGATGACCGAAACCGTATACTGAGCAAAATCAAGACCCGGCCACTGGACTCGGCACCAAAATCGTATAGCCGACGAACGGACGTCCGTCAACAACCCAAGACCGTGCCCAAGACAACCGACCGACGATGGCCAGCATTGGGCCAGCATGTCCAATAGCGTTTGATTTTGGTGTCTTTTTCTAACGTGACAAGAACTTGTGCCGCTTCTCATTTACAGATGCCATGAGGCAATATAAAGAAAATGTTTTTCGACATCAATTCATCGTTTTCCGCTTTAGGTCATTTCAAGTCATTTCAAATCAAGTCAAGTAAATCATTTTTCTCAGGATTGACGCACAATAGTGGGTATAGTCGCCCAATAGCGCATGCATTCCAATCACTCATGCGCTCCGGTTCACAGATTGTTTTTATTCTTACGCGATCTTAATCCCAAATGCAGATTTCACTTTAGAAAGCGTAGATCGTACCCGGCATTCAGTATTCGCAACAGCCTATGCCTCCACACCCCGCATCTAACATGTACCTAACGCTGGCACTGTACCTAGATGTCAAAAACACCCCTCCCTTGCCTATACCTAATACAGCTCGCAGACGGGGCGCCATAAGCCCATAAGCCATCGCTGACTTAGCCGGGAAGCGTCTAAATTACATAACTACTACCGGTAACATATCCCGAGGCTGAATATTACACGCGATGAGCAGGTTCTCGCAGTTACGTCACTAGTCACTAGTCAGTAGTCACGTAACTCATACGATGTACTTACTGATTAGTGATTGCCTACTTACCTTACTGAGATGGCACGGCCACGGACCCTGCGCGGCCACGTCAGGTGCCACTGAGTCAGCCACGTGAAAAGCTTGGTTAATTAACCAGATTGATAAAAAATTAACTTTATTACTTTTTACGAGGTTCTGGACAGAAAATGTGCTTAAAAACTGCTGTCGATCAGATCCCTCTATAAAGGCACAGCTGATTTACTTCCAGTATCTTTTAGATAAAAGAGAAGTCGCACCATTGACCTGACCTTAGGTCACTGATACAAAAAAAAATCCGGGAAACACGTGTCTTACATCCAGTCACATTATCAACCGCTAAAAGTGACAAACGGTCGTTTGTTCGGTGTGCATATTACGTAGCCATGGCGAACATTATTTTTTTTTCAAGGATATCTCACTCTACGTGACCTGATCACCTGACCTTAACCCTCGCATGTGTAGGGGGGGGGGTCGGATGGACCCCCCCCCATGGTTTTTCGCGAATAACTCGCGTAAAAAGCGGCCGATTGCGACGACACTTTCAGTACACTCGCATTGATCAATTTTACACCTACCCTGAAAATTTCATGACCCTGACCCAAATGACTTTTGACCTGTGACCTCTTTTCCGAGACCATGTTTGGCCGGAATCGCGATTCAGCGTATGTCGGCTCGCATTAGCCGCGCGTTTGCAAGTTTTTCGTGGTTTCAAACGTTCAAACATGTGATTTGCTGTTGCTCCCATGCATTAGGGTGGGTGTCAAGGTCACCTGAAGGTTAGGTCAGGTCATTGACCTTTGGTGACCTCGGGTGACCTCGGTTCACTTTTTCGAGTTTTACATGTTTCTAGGCTAGTTTTTGGAGCTGATTTCGAATTTAGCAACCATTTGAACGTTTACGAAGTAGTTTTGGTGACTTCGTAACATGTTACGAAGCTGTCAGAGGCGGTTGACACGTACTACGCATACCCGTCACGACCCCTACTGGTTGACCTGACCTGACCTGACCCGACCTGGTCTAAATGCTTAAAGACATCATCTGTGATCAAAACTAACACGATATTCGTGATCAGCGTCCCGAAAAACCCCTTAGCAGCCACACTTTACAACTTTCTAACAGGTCCCGATTTTCCCGACTTTGGGTCATTGACCTGACCTGGAAGGTCAACCAATGACCTAGGACCTTAAAATTGGGTATCATCCATCGGCTTCCTCTCGTCACGGGCAACACGCTCGTTTTTTCCGCGAAGCTCTAGCTCGATCAGGGGCCAAACGGAAAGGGGGGGGGTCCAACCGACCCCCCCCCCCCCCCCTACACATTAGATGCTGGAAAACGCCGCACACATGCGAGGGTTAAATGACCTTGGTTTGAAGTTTTATCAATTGTGTGGGAAGTGCCTATTTATCATAAGTTTTGCCCAATACAGCGAAGAGTAACTAGTGCCGTCCTACGTGATAATTCGGGAGAGTGTCTATCTCGGAGAATTCTAAATTATTCGTCGAGAGAATAATCATTATTCACCGTTGGTGAGAAAACATTCCTCCTCCCCTTTCCCCTCCGCCGCAGGTTAATCTGAGGATGATTTACGTTCGGTTGAGAGCTCCATTAGCTAAATTGTTATTCGCTCTATGTGTTTCTCTTTTCTCCCCCGCCTCTCTCTCTCTCTCTCTCTCTCTCTCTCTCTCTCTCTCTCTCTCTCTCTCTCTCTCTCTCTCTCTCTCTCTCTCTCTCTCTCTCTCTCTTTCTCTTTCTCTGTGTCTCTTTCCCGATCATGGGGCACTTGCAAGTTGCAATGATGGTAACTGTGCGAATACAATCATACTGAAAGCATCATATATGTATTTCTTCTAATAAATAAGAGACAAATGCATCAACACATGCACAGAATGAGACCATTCTACCAGCCGTAATGCCTGGAGCCAAGAGCACCTGCTGGGCTGCTGCGACCCTCTCTCGACTCCAAACACAGACTCGGCGACATCAGACAGCCTGAGGAGCTGCACTACCCCTCCGCGACCCGCGGGCGCTCACTGATCGCGCGGCCACGGGTCGTTGATGTGCGGCATCTGACAGCACACGCCGTCGCCAGTGCCCCCGTCCTTCAGCTCTGTGCACCGGTCGAGCGCCACGGTCGGCTGCAGCGTGGGCTCCTCAGGCTCGAACAGCAGACCGCCGCGCACGAAGCCCGTGTACGGGTTGCACATGGCGATGGGGACGCAAACCAGTGAGGTGGAGCAGGTACGCGTCTGATGACCCAGGGGACCTGAGCCGCCGCCGCCCGGGTGACGGTTCAGTAGCTGGCCGGACGCCAGAGGCACGGACGGCTGTCCGAGGTTAGAGCCGGTCTGTGAGACGGTGGTAGGAAGACCGCTCTGAGCGGGCCCGAAGCTGGGCTGCTGGGGCGTCTGCTGAGAGACGAAGGTAGACTGCTGACCTGACGGGGCGAAGCCGGGCTGCTGAGGAGTCTGCTGGGAGACGAGAGTAGACTGCGGACCTGACGGGGCGAACCCGGGCTGCTGAGGGGTCTGCTGAGAAACGACGGTAGATTGCTGGCCAAATCCAGGCTGCTGGGGAGTCTGCTGAGAGACGAAGGTAGACTGCTGGCCTGACGGGGCAAGTCCAGGCTGCTGAGGGGCTTGCTGAGAAACTACGGTAGATTGCTGGCCAAGTCCAGGCTGCCGACCAGTCTGGCTTGAGATGAACGTAGACTGCTGGCCTGACGGAGCAAGTCCGGGCTGCTGCTGAGGGGTCTGCTGAGAGATGAATGTAGACTGCTGGCCTGACGAAGCAAGTCCAGGCTGCCGACCAGTTTGGCTTGAAATGAAAGTAGACTGCTGGGCTGACGGGGCAAGTCCAGGCTGCCGGCCAGTCTGGCTGGAGACAAAGGTGGACTGCGATCCCGAAGGACCGAATCCAGGCTGCTTCTGGGTCTGACTGGATACAAAAGTAGACTGCTGACCAGTGGGGTTGGATCCAAAGCCAGTCAGTTGACCGCTGGGACCAGAGCCGGAGCCGGTGCTCTGCTGGAAGCTCGTCTGCGAGCTACTGTCGCTGCTGCCCTGCTGGTAGTACTCGCTGCTGGAGCTGGAGAAGTGGGAGGCACCAGCTCCGTCCTGTCCACCGTTCAGGAACACGTTTGAGCTGTAGTCGGAGTTGATCGGCGCCTGTCCCACCGGCGCCTGTCCCACTGTCGTCTGTCCCACCGTCTGTGAAGACTGTGAGAAGCTGTTGCTCTGGAACTGCCCGGGGTTATCCAGGAACATGTTGCTGGGCCGCTGCAGGAGAGGTCCGTTCACAGACTGCGCCACGGCCGGCCTCTGGATGCCCGTCGCCGGCTGGCTGACGGATGAGGTGCTCTCGTAGTAGCTCGACTGGGACTGCTCGTCGGAGGACAGTGAGACGACTCCGGATGAGGACGGACCGGACACAGTTTGAGTGGACACGGACTGGCTAGGCAGGCCGGAAGGAGACGGAGCTGACTGGGTGGACTGGGAGATGACTGAAGAACTGTGACTGCCGCCGGGTAGAACAGGCTGGACGCCACCGTGGACTGGGCCACTGGCGACCGGCAGGGGGCCAGACGGCACGACATTGCCGCAGCAGCCAGCGCCGTTCGACTGCTGGGAGAAGCTGGTGGTACTGTCTGACACCTGAGAGAAGCCGTCGTCGCCGACGTTGGATCCGATCGGTGCCTGAGACACCTCATTCAGCTGTGTGGGCGCCGAACCGAAGTCGGTCGTCGGCGTCTCGTAGAGTCCCGAAGGCGGCGGGATCTGGTAGGCGGCGGCGGAGGCCACCAGGGCCACGAGACTGAGCGCGGTACACCTCATGTCGACGGGTGATCAGGTGAGAATGCCGCTGCACACCGTCCGCCGCCTCTTATAGCGGCGCCGCGCCGGGAGATGCTCCGTGGAAATACCCAGTCGGCCCGGAGCGGTGGGGCGAGGCGCCGCTTCCGCCGCGCTGATCGGGCGCTGGCCTCTGATCACCCGGCGCTGCACGACTGCAATTCTGACCGACCGATTAGCTGGGCGGTGCACGGAACAGCGAGTAGGCGGTCTGGTGTCTAACTCTCTTACCTACATATTCTGTCACTCTGCTCAAAATGAAGTTACTTTTTGGGTACTATGCCGACGCCACCTCCTCTCACATTTGCAGACACTTTGTTTACTCGACATTTCTACTTAGAGTTTAAGTGCTAACTTAAACAAGTCAAAGAAATAGGTATATTTGTTTCTGCATGGTTTAGCAAGTTTTCATTATTAGCGCAACTTAGCTCAGACTGAGCAAATAAATTTCAGTAAAAATATCCATAACCTCGAAAAAGCTCGTTGAGAGATTCGTCCCTTAATTTTAACAAAAATTTATTGAAAAGAAACGAACAACTATAAGGGATTATATTAGGGAGCGCCGTGAAAAAAATTGCTAGATGCGGTAAATGAAAGAATGATAAAAAAGTAGACGGGTGCAGTTAAAATGCGCGTAAATCATTTGTTTTTAAAGTTCTGCTTTTTAGATTATCCCAAGATTCAAAAATAATGTACCGGTGGCCAGATCGATATAGATCAGAGGATAGCGCCAGAGGTGCTATCCATGTTCCAATTTTAGCGTTGAAAGACAAATCAACGCATTAGGCGCTCGTAAGATTATAGAAATAGGTTTGCACACCGTCGGATCCAGGCAGGCAAGCTGGGAGGCATTTGGGGAAAATGCCCGACCCCAGCAGCGCCCAAAATCGACAGAACTTTGCGGTTTTTCGACAACAAAACTAAAAGTAAATAACTTCTATAAAAAATTGTGTTGAAACTGCACAGCATTGCGTAAAGCATCGAAATCTGATGAGTTTTTGGATTTTGGAAACACATTTTTGGGCATACCTATGCCCCCGTACAAGGCCGCCTTTCTGGATCCACCAGTGGGCATGCACTATCCAGGGTTATAGAAGGCGTATTCGATATCATTTTAAATCGTTCCTTTAAAAATTATTCATGCATTTTAAAGTCAAACTTTTGTAGTTGACCTCAGGTTATGGTCACGCTCTGACGGGTAAAGGTCAAGCTGCATACGTAGGCCGTCAGTCTATATTAATGAATCAAATGTCCGAACTCTAACAAGTTACGAGGTAAACCTGTGACTTAACACTATTCCTGGCGGGGGGGGGGGCCTCAGGAGCCCCCCCCCCCCTGAGGTTTTTTTGGTTAGGTATATCTCCCAAACGCTTTGAGCTAGGAAGCTCAAATTTTCTGACTTTTTCTAAAAGGCTTTTACGCAACATTTCTGAAAATTTTGAGTTGATCTGACCTCAGGTCAGGTCACCAGAGGCGGTTTGGTGACCCTACCTCAGAAAAGTTTGCAATCACGCCAGAGCTAGAGTTTTTGACCGATCAATTTCTTCTCTTCAGGCTTTAGTTAGGGTACCAGTATGTGCAATTTGTATATCTCAAAATTTTCATATCTGTGACCTGAGGTCAGGCCAGACTCGTGACCTTTACATTGCAACAGGGACGTAACCAAGGGGGGGGGCGGAGGGGGCGCCCGCCCCTCCCTTGGGGTTTTCAGGAGGCCCCCCGAAAGGATTCAGGACAACGTGGGCCGAAGGCCCACGTTGGCCTGAATCCTTTCGGCCTGAATCCAACGTGGGCCTTCGGCCCACGTTGGCCAAAATCACGTCGGAGGCGAACGAAATTTATGCGGGAATCTAAAAAATGACGTCAGAACAATCAGGGCCCTCTGACCAGCCTGACAAGTGACAGTTAGGGCCCTTCTCATCTCCTGTGAATAACCACTAGTGTCTGTGTCTGACCGCTAGGGCCCCTCTGACTCCTCAGTAGAGAGGAGGCCCTCTGTGGGTAGGAGGCCCTGTGTAGAGAGGAGGCCCCCTTAGAGAGGAGACCCCCTGTAGAGAGGAGGCCCTCTGCAAAAAGGAGGCCCTCTGTAAAAAAGAGGCCCTCTGTAAAAAAGAGGCCCTCTGTCAAAAAAGGAGGCCCTCCGTAGAGAGCAGGCCCTCTGTAAAGAGGAAACCGTCTGAAATCAGAAGGCCATTTGAAGAGAGGAGGCCCTCTGTAGAGAGGAGATCGTCTGAAGAGAGGAGGCCCTCTGTAGAGGAGGACTCCCTCAGTAGAAAGGAGGTCCTCTGTAGGTAGGAGGCCGTCTGTAGAATGAAGGCCCTCTGAAGAGAGGAGGCCCTTTGCAGAGATGAGGTCCTCTGTATAGAGGAGGTCCTGTGTAGAGACGAGACTCTGAAGAGAGGAGGCCCTACGTAGATAGGAAGCCCTCTGTAGAGAGGAGGTCCCTGTAGAGACTAGAGAGGAGGCCCTCTGTAGAGAGGATGCCCTCTGTAAAGGAGGCCCTCTGGAGAGAAAGACACCCTCAGCAGAGAGGAGGCCCTCTGTAGATAAGAGGCAATCTGTAGAGAGGAAGCCCTCTGTAGATAAGAGGCCCTCTGTATACAAGAGGCCCTCTGTGGGCAGGAGGCCCCCGGTAGTCAAAGACAGCGTCGTATATTAAGTACATAGAGTGGAGGCCCACTGTAAGCAAATTACCTTCCGGCTTCTGTTCCCTGCTACTCTCTATAGAGAGTTCTAAGTTCTCAGTGAGAACTGAGAACTCAGGAAACTGTACAGAATAGACTCCCAACCGCGGCGCCGCCCACTGTAGGAAGGGACAGGGGAGAAGGTCCTCTGTAAACAGAAGGCCTTATCCTATGTAGTCAAATTATTTGTATAAATGCGCTCAGAGAAATCATGCCGGGTGCCGTCAACGGTTTTGCCGTCAACGGTTTTACCTGCAGTGGCCGTAAAAACTGCCAAAATAGCCGATATTTTCGGAAACCAGTTTTCCGCAATAACTTTCGTGTCAAAATTTGCACGAACTTCCCTTTACCAGCATCGTGTTCCTCTCGTCAAGACGTGTGGAATGAACTATCAATTGACCTTGAAAGGTCAAATTGAAAATTTGGCCTCAGGTCAAGGTCATGACCTGACCGATAAGGGCTAAGTTCCATATCAGTCCATCCGTATCTTCGAGCCAAACACAACTAAGGTGTAATCATCGCTCTAGCATGCCTCTATCAAAAGTTATTCGCGAAAAAAAAACAGATACCATTGGTGACCTGAGATGACCTGAGATGTGCCATTTTCATGTTCAGTGTGTCAAAGATACCTACTAGTAATTCAGTGTTTTAGAGTGTTTATAATGACTTCCGTCTAAAAAGGCGACTTTCAATTTAAAGTCGCAAAATTGACCTGACCTTATGTCATCGATATCAAAATTCCAAGACATACATTTTTTGCATTTTGTCGCTCTTGTGCATTTGCATCTCTGAAAGTTTCAAAGCGTTTGGTCACTCCGTGTAGCTTTGGCAGACATTGAAACTTATGTAGTGAGGTCATTTGACCTGACCTGGTGACCTGACTTTAAGTGACCAGGGTCTGAAATTTTCACAACATATGTAGAAATGATATAGGATAAAGTGTGGCGCGCCGCCGTTTTTGAGATATTCACGGTAAACTGCAGGGGGTGTTTAACACCCCCCCCCCCCCGGCAGGGCGCGGGTTAATGTATGAACACAGCAGCCCATTTCTGTAATATATAGTTACCTGTGGCTGATTTTGTGGCTAGCAGATTTTGAAGTTGACCTATCTATGTAGGTCGTTATAAACCATATTATTTGTTATGACCTCTGGCGACCTCAATATTGACCTGACCCAAAAAAGTTGTTTACAAAAGTTGTAAGTCGTTTAACGAACTATCAAACGCCGTTGCCGTTTGTCGCTACGATTCGTGCTTTTCGAGTTCTGACGAGGGCCAAAAAGGCCCCCGCCCGATTCAGAGTCTTTCAAAGCCCGCCCGGAATACGGTTAAGCGCTTGAACGATACATGATAATACACCAAGTGTTACTCTGGCCGTCATCCAGTATCCACCTATTCCTCGCAGATCCTCCCCCTCCTGCTGCGGTCCGGCCGCCGCCGCCGCCGCCGCGCCGGCGGCGCCAGAGTTTTTTTTTTTTTTGCCAGTTACCATGCCACTCGGAGACTTGTGATATGCGTATGTTTCTTACCGCTGCAGCGGTTAGAATAAAGAAACATACCAGTGCGCTGGCCATATGAAAGCTGAACAAAAGTCTGCATTATATTGTTTATGTAATTATGTAGGCATGAGACCCTCTGTAGAAAGGAGGCCCCTTTAGGGAGGAGGCCCTCTGTAGAAAGGAGGCCCCCGGGATTCCTCCGCCCCTCCCTTGGCCAAATCCTAGCTACGTGCCTGCATTGCAAGCCTATGGGAAAATATTGAAACGCCTCCTGCTTCGTGTAAACGAGTCAAAACCACCTAGTTCTTTCAGTATTATGGAAGATTATCTCATCGGTGATGATCCTGGTGCCGCTAATTGACAGGGGCACCGGCAAAGGTCATCTGAGGTCATGTGACGTCATAAATCGTTTTTCTGTCAATAAATCACGACATGATGGTGCTAAAGACTTGTAAGTGGTACCAAACTGCTCGCCTGGTCAAGGCGCGTCGTTTGGTATGCAGCATGACCATACCCCACAACCTCATTGATGAATGACCTGACCTTGACCTCAGGTCAAATTTTAAATTGACCTGTGAAGGTCATCACATACTTATTTCGCATCGCCTCGGCGAGAGCAACAAAAAATGTATTGGTTTTATGTCTCTATGTTTCTTAGTTTAAAAGTTATATAGGTAACTAATTCCAAAACATTTTATCGTTGATGACCTCTGGTGACCTCAATATTGACCTGACCTGAAAATGTTTTATGTAAAAGTTGTAGATCTTTAAACGACCTATCAAACGCCGTTCGCCGTTTGTCGCTGCGATGTGTA